TGCCAAGAAGGCCACATCTTCTGAATTCACAGTCCTTGTAGATACCTGCTCCCGTAATCAATCATCTATGAAGGCCTAATAACCGCTGCACAACAGGTTATGAGCCCGGCGCTTAAGATTGATTCAACCATACTTATTTGATTATCTCTGATTGAGAATCCACAGTACCCTTGTCCTTGTATCTACCTGATCCACCTTGTTCTGCTATGGAGACCCAAACAAGCGAGAAATCTATTAAGTACATCCTCAAGAAGGGAGCCTCCTTTCAAGCATGGAGAGACATGCTTGAGGCCACTCTTGTTGACAAGGATTGTGCAGCATATGTCTTTGAAGATATCCCATGGCTAGCATATAAGCCAAAACTAGAAGCCCCAGAACTATTGCTCCCAATTGCTGTCCCTATTGGAGAACAAGCAGCCGAAAGAGCAAGGACTCAAGCACTGAACACAACTGCTGAAAATGAATACCAGGAGAGGCTGCTGGAGTGGTACAAGAAAGACAGGATTGCCTATGGTATTATCAGCTCAAGATTGGATGATGATATCAGACCAGACTTTGGAGTAACAAGGAAAACAGCAAGGGAACTGTATGAGACTGTGGCTTCAACATACAAGCCCATCATTACAGTGGATATCCACAACACAATCAAGGCCTTGCATACTACAAGACTGATTGAGGGGAACACCCTGGCATTCTGTGAAGCATTTCAGAAGAATTTGCAAAGGCACAAAACTGCTACTGAGCAGTACTGTGCTGCACATTCATGCTCACCTCTTGATGTTCAACTCCCCAACATATACATTAACCTTGTCTTCCAAGGAGGAACAAGACACTTGGAATGGACAAGAACATGGAGGCAGGCCTACAGGCCTAAGAACCATACCTTAGAACAATTGATCTCTAGCCTAAGAGCTGAGAGGGCTCTACTATCTTAACCCGGACTTAGAAGGCCTGCTGGAGCAGCAGGAGCAAGTGATGAAACTTGTAAAGAGTGTGGGAAGGGTAAACATAGCCCTGAGAACTGCTGGACAGCTTACCCTGAGAAAGCCCCAGAGTGGTAGGTAGCTAAGGACAGGCAAGACACCCAGAAGAAGAACAAGAAATCTAACAAGAACAGCAACAAGGACAGATCCTCTAAGAGCAGAGGGAGATCCAGCTACAAGAAGAGCGCTGCTGCAGCGCTTCAAGACAACAACTCTGATCTAGAGATGATCAGTGAAAGTGAGGATTCTGGCATGTCTGGTGCAGCAGTTGCTACAGCTAGTACTGGGCAGAAAGGCCTCACATCCAACAGCATCATATTTGATTCTGGAACTTCGTATCATTTCTTTAACAAGAAATCATGGTTTGAGAGCATGGAGCGCTTAAAAGCGCCTATAAACTTCTCTCAAGCAGTTGGAAAGTCAAGCTGTATGTACAAGGGCACTGTCAAACTTCACCTCACTACTAAGAAAGGAGTCAGTACTGTGATCAAACTCACAGGTGCGCTGTACTCACCACACTCACACTGCAATCTGGTGTCCAAGGGCAGGCTTAAGCGCAAAGCTAACATTACCCAGCACCAGCATTCTGCAGATCTTGTTAAGGATAGTAAGACAATTGGTCAAGTTACCTAAATCCTGGATGTGGATGTCCTTCAGGGAGTCCAATTCCTAGCTCCCAATGAACAGACCTCAAGATCTGTACAGCACATCATAGCTCCAGCTATTGCTGATCCTACAGCTATAACTAGACTTTGGCATAGGAGGCTTGGCCACATTGGAGGGAAAATCCTCAACCTGACCAAGTAACATACTCAGGGTATGGAGAATGTTGACATCTCCACCCTGGAGCACTGTGAGACCTGTAAACTCTCCAGAGCTCAAAGAAAGGTCTCAAGAGAGAAGAGACCAATCCCAAACATAGCTCTGGATGAAATCCATGTTAATGCTGTAGGTACTGTAACCCCAGCAACTACTCTTGGACATCCTTGGCTGTTCATCTTAACTGATGCCAAGTCCAGAGTAAGGTTTGCATACACTGCAAAGAACAAGAGTGATGGAGCTGCATGTCTGAAGGATTTTGTTCACAAGCTTATTACCCAGTACCAAAGGCACCCTAAGATCTTCTTCACAGATGGGGGTACAGAGTTCTATGAGCTGTCAAGAATATCAACTCAACTAGGGCTAAGATGGGATGTGTCTGCCCCATACACTCCAGAACAAAATGGAATCTCAGAATCTTCTAACAAGGTAGCTCTTACAAGAGCAAGAGCTATGCTGGTATCCTCAGGTCTTCCCCATAGTCTATAGGACTATGCTATCAAGTATGCTATTCTTGTGGCTAACCTGACTGGAAACCTCACCACCAAGAATATCCCTATGCAACAATTCTTGTCAGACATGAATGCTAGCACTGCTGAGCTCCAAGATCTCTCCAGTCTGAGGGTCTTTAGATACAAAGCCTATGTCTACAGAGCAATGGAGACAAGGCTCAAATCTGCCAAGTTTGAAGCTAGAGCAGACATTGCCTGGTTTATTGGCTTTCAAGAGAATTCCCTTACCAACTACATTTGCTGGAAGCCAGTCTGGAACCTTGAAAAGTCCAAATAGGACAACAAGTTCTACACATCTCCTCATGTCACCTTCAATGAGAATGAGATGTACCGGGATGCCCTGAACAACCAAGTACAGTTTATATCTGGTCCTTCTGCAGACCAGGGGGAGATTTTATTCACTCATGTCTTGCAGAACTCCCAGGATTCTGCCCCCTAACATGACAATCACCCACCTGAGGATCAGGAGGGGTCACTTAATACTCAGGGGGAGCAACAAGGGGAGCCAGTCTTATCATAGACTGTACCTGAACCTCCTCCACCAAGTTAACAAGCTGAACTTGCAAATCAGACTGAGTCACCCTATGAAGTGCAGTCTGAGCAAGCTTTGCAGCCTGAACTCAATTTTGACCTCACCTCATCACAAACCGAGACTGCTAGTACCCAGAATATTGCAAATAAGGAACCTCAGGCCAATAAGACTTCTAAAAACACTCAGAATACTCTCTTGGAGCAAGAAGATACCCAAGAGAATATACAAGAAGATATGGATGTTCCTATGACCCCTTTTCATGCACCCCCTATGACTGGCAAGAGGAAAAGAAACCAGTCCCCTAAACCTGAAATTGCTATGCAAAGGTACAACACCAGATCTAGCAGACAAGTGACTACCCAGAACTACAAGCAGATGAACAGTCAAGGCCTGAACAAGAATGGTCTTGCAGGAGCTGTCCATCCAGCAGATCTAACAACTGCTCAACAAGTATTATCCTCCCTAAAGGCTGAGAGGTGGAAGAAAGCCATGATCAAGGAGCTGAAATCTCTTAATACTACTGGTACCTTCGAATAGATTCAAAAGAACAAGATTCCTAAGGGCAGAATACCCTTAGATGGAAAGTGGGTGTTCAAGACTAAGTACCTCCCAGTAGGTGAAGTCTTTGACAATGGTGAGAATAAGATGGAGAAAGCAAGATGGACAGTAAAAGGCTTTGCTCAGAAACCTGGAGATGACTACAGTCAAACCTTTGCCCCAACACTAAGAGCTGCAACTGGGAGAATCCTCCTAGCTATATCAGTTCAGGAAGCTTAGTACAGAGCCCAGGTAGATATTAAAACTGCCTTCCTTATGCCACTGCTGGACAGAGATCTCTATATCAACCCACCAAAAGAAATTGAGGAGTTCAACAGACCAGGCATAGTCATTCTCCTCAGGAAAGGACTCTATGGACTCAAGCAAGCTGCTGCTCTCTGGTATCAAGAAGTTGTTGAGCTGCTAATTCAGCTCAAGTTCAAAAGAACCAAGTCAGACTCCTGCTTGTTTGTCTATCCAGAGATTATTGTAATGATACATGTGGATGATTTCCAAATATTCAGCCCATCCAAGAACAAGATCACTTGGCTCCTAGATAGCATGAAGAAGAAATGGAAGGTTAAGGAGGTCAAGACCAACCTCTTCCTTGGAATCCAAATCCTGCATACTAACAAGAATGAGATCAAGCTCTCACAGGAGCACTATGCTCTTGAAAAGCTAAAGGGCCATGACCTTGACAAGGCAAGGACTGTCAAGTACCCCATGGACAAAATGTATGAGCTAAACAAGGCCTAATGTACAAGACAGGAGTACAGCCTGTTCAACAAGATAATTGGAGAACTGCAGTATCTTGCAAACTGCACAAGGCCGGACATCTCCCACTCAGTCAACCACTTGGCCAGATTTCTTCAGAACCCCTCCCATGAGCATATCACTGCTGCCAAACACATCTGGAGATATGTGGCTGGCAGTCTGAGCAAAGGGATCACATATAAAAGGCACCAACAACTCAAGATTGAGGTATTTTCTGACTCAGACTTTGCTGGGGATCCTGGAACTGCAAGATCTACTACTGGATGTCTTGTCAAGATCTCTGGAGGACCTGTATCTTGGAAATCAAGACTGCAGAGAGAGGTGGTTCTGTCAAGCACTGAAGCAGAATATGTGGCTTTGACTGAAACCTGCAGGGAAGTCAACTGGCTTAAGAACCTGCTCTCTGAGCTACAACTATTGCTCAAAGATCCTCCCACCAAGTTCAAGGTTCATGTTGATAACAAGTCAGCTATCTGTCTTGTGGAGAATCATGAAAGATCTGGCAGATCAAGACACACCAACCTGAGAAACCACTACTGCAGAGATCAGTATGAGAATGGTGTGATTGATGTTAAGTACATTGAGACTGCAAAGCAAGAAGCTGATGCTCTCACAAAAGCTGGAAAGACCAACTAGCTGCTGTGATACAGAAGCATGGCATTGCGTGCATACTACACTTATTTGAACATTCCCTTTGTGAACTGGAGACCTGCAGTTTGGTGGCTAAGTGCCTTTTCATTCTGTGATGGTATGAAAATCAAAACTCCACACACATGCCCTGTCCTGGGTATCTCAAAATCAAACATAAGTAGCTCCTCCCTGAGCCTGCTTTTCATTCAACAAAAGAAATAAATCAAGAACCCTTGCAGCTCCCCAAACTGCATCTGGCTAGCAGACTCAAGGAAAACAACATGCAGGGCCAGTGCTGCAGAGATCACCACCAAATCCACTAATCCTGAACTCCAGATCTATCTACCACGAGGATATCTGTAGTTCTTGCCCATGAAGTCCCTACCATTCTCAAACTTCTGATCAAAAGCCAGCTCAACAGCATGTACAGCAGCCCTTATCTCAGCCTTGTACTGCTCATATCCGGCAGTTGAGGAGTAGTTGAAGTTGATAACAATCTGACCACGACGAGAGCCATCTCCTGCAACCTGAACCTCACGAGCTGCATTAATGCGCACAGAGTTTGGCTGTGGTGCACTATTAGACTTGTTTGAATCCTCAGACACAAGCGACATGTCAGACAAGGATCTCTTAAGCCCAGAGTCCCTGTCCTTGCCCTTGCTCTTTCCCTTGAGTTCCTTTGGAGTCCGTGGAGCAGGTGTGTAGCTAGAGGTAGAGCAGCTAGAGTACTGAATCCCAAAAGCACAGTTGGTGCAGGCATTCTGAAAGCAATCCTCTCTAGCAGCATTCTGGATGGGAACCTTGTGACAAGCTCTGAATAGCCGAGCTCCAGCTATTGGAGGCTGGCACTTGCTGCAGGAACTGGCACCCTGAGCCACAATAGCATTTGATGCCTCAGCCAGAATGCAAGGAAGGTAGTAAGCACTCCCATCCAAGTTGAAGGTAGAGTGACCACGGAAGAGAGGAGTCTGAGTGATCTGAATGGGATTTGGGTTTGTGGCGTCAAAGAATGCCATCCACTTGACACTGGGCTTGTTGCGAGCCAAAGAGAAGTCCAGATTCCGGTTCCAGGCCTCCAGCATCTGCTCACACTAGGCCTAATTACACTGAACAGAGTTGAAGTTCAGACTATAGGCATTATTGACCACGGCCTGAAGCTGTCCATTGCTCATCTGCTGAGCAGCTATGACTGAGCTCAAGTCAGTATTTAACTCACAGTCACAAGCCACTAATCCATACCTTGGCTCTCAAGAGAGAGAAGTTCTGAGAGTGTCTGAAGTGTTGTGAAGGAAGTGGAATAGTGTTTGAATGGTGTGAAGAGTGTGGAATGGGTATGTGCAAGAGAGAGAGTTCAAGGAAGAAGAAGAACTCTTTTATGGGCAGAACTTAAGATCAGGTGATTGCCAGCTTAACACACTGAAGGTTCAAGAGATTGCGTGGCAATCCATGTGATGCCTGACCTGCTCATGAGCATTCTGAAGGGTCATTTGCTTTGTGATATGGTCACTGATAAGGTCACAAGGTCACATAAATGGCTCAGACACGTATGACAGCAATCAGACAGCTCAAGAAAGAACTGTCTGTATGCTGAGGGGGAGTGTTGTGCCTGGGGATCACGTGAGTGCCAAGAAGGCCACATCTTCTGAATTCACAGTCCTTGTAGATACCTGCTCCCGTAATCAATCATCTAT